AATCAAATCGTTCGTTCTTATCCAAAAACAGGGCTCTTGAAGTCTATAAATACATCCCTAGGGTCTTCATTTACAGAGATCTGGAATTCTCGAGCGTTGGCGAAGCCCTGCTAAATTGAAGACTGAAGGAGAACGAATTTCAGAAGAGAGGAGGAGATCGGATCGAGTTCTTTAGCATAAAGAAGAAGAGTTCGTCAAATCTACAGTTCTCGGATCTTTTCCTTGAGACTGCCCCGTTGCGGTGATCTCGAGAAGAGTGGTTATCTCGCTGTTGCCTAGATAATTGCTTCGGTTTCTTGATTCCTTCACAAATCAACGAAGCTCCGGATCGATCTGATCATTTGGTAGTCCACGGATATCAATGTCCTCGTCACAGGCAAAGATCCCATGCAAGCAGCAGGAGATAAACGTCCATTGCGTTTGTTTGAAAGAAAGTTGTAATCTTTTGTTGAAAGTCTTATAAAAAGACTATTTCTTTGAGTTTGCTGTAACACCCAAAGTTGTAATGAACTCATCAATAAAATCGACTTTCCACCCAAACAAGCTGGTAACCACAGTGGGAGCCAACAGCCTTACTGCCAAGGTTGTCATGCCGCAGCAAATAATCAAGATCCCCGTGGCTGAGGAGGTCGAATACGAGTTCGACCAACAGAATTTTGAGGAGTACGTCTCCTACTCCTCCTCCAGATTCGTCTCTCCTCATAAGCGCAGGAAGGCCTTTTCCTCCCGGAAGATCCGCTGGTCTTTAGATCTGAAGATCCAAGAAGGCGATCTTCCCGCTACCGTCGGTGCGGTTGCACCTCACAACTATCCGCCGGCGTCCAATGGGTCCCGATCTGTATATCTGAACTCCTCCTCAATCAATGAGTTAACTGCTGAAGGCGCGCCAACTCCATAAAAGAGGGCATGTCAAAGGCAACGCCAACACCTTGTACGCTAATTCGCCAAGGCTTTGGATCAGGTTGACAGACTCCGTTACCAAGTGGATCTAGAGTTCAGAAAGCATCATATGGCTAAGCTATCGCAACAACAAGCATCGAGATCCTCCTCCCAACCTCCGATTAATAAATGGGTTCGTGTTAAACGAACCCGTTCTACTCTCGAGGAGTGCTGTAAGGACCATGAATTTTGATACTAGTTAAAATAAATTTCTAGTATTATAAAATACTTAGTTATGATTTTAAAAGAGTATTTATATTTTCTCAAGTTTCTATAATTTTCTATGATTTAAGGTCTAAGTTTTATATTTATTTAGATGATTTAAATATTTATAAAGTACAGTAAAATATCTAGAATTTATCTGTTGCGTTATTGATACTGTTATATGTCATTTTGAATAATACGTTGTATTATTATTATTAATTACGTATATTTTCCTATAATACGTTGTATTATTAATTATGTATTATTTGTATAATTTACTATATTATTTCTACTATTACATATTATCTGTTGTATTAGTATAACTGGTACGTTTTTTACTGTATATATAATTATCCCATAATTGTTTGATTTTAAATATAAGAAATTATATTTTTATTAATTATTCTTGTTTAATTATGTAATTTATTGTATTATTTCTATTGTTGCGTATTTTTGGTTATAATACCATAACTTCTACGTTTTAATGTGTAGCTAATTTTTACATAATTATTTAAATTATTTTGTTATTATTATTATTTTAAAATAATTTTCAAAACCCTAAAATTTCCCTTTATATATATATCCCTCGTTTTCTCTCTCCTCTCTTCTTCATGTTCA